GAAGGGATGCCCTAATCAGCCAGCCGAATCAGATAAAAGAATCTGATTTGGTAATTGGCCATCCCGTATGATGCTGTATAGGCTTTACTCAGGTTTTTAATTGGCTCAGCCAAGCTGAATGCACACCCCTACTTATCAGTTGCAAACAAGAGCTTTGCAGCAATGGTAGAAACTCCAGATTGGGTCTTTGTGACCAAGTGCAACATGAGAGTGCGCAAAGGAATGTGCGTGTGTGTTTTAGAGCATCCGGTGAACCCCCATCTAATCTTCTTTCATGACTGGCATAAATCTGGGTCTTTTATCACCTAGTGGTTGACCAGTAAGAAGACAGAGAATTCAACTACAATGAATTATACTGGTTTATTGAAGTAAGCCATTAAATGAAATGTCTGCCCATACCAAATATGCAAAACAGAACACATGAATGAAATGATTAAGCAAGTAAGCCAAAATAAGGACAAATTAGCAAATGGTTGCATAAATGAAATGGCTAGATAACTACAGAATGGCTAGATAAGTACAGAAAGATGAGTAGAAGTATTATGGAGACATTATTAATAAAGATGGAAAAGGCTAAGGCTGATTGATAAATACAAGTGAATACCAAAGCCATTTCAAAACATGGAAGCAGGAGGAAACTTGGGATGTGTGTCAAGCAAAACAGCTCAAGTAGGTAAAATCTAATAACGTAACAGCAAATAGCCAAATTGCTCTAGAACTCATGCTTTCTCCCAGTGTCCTCCAGCCCACCTAGTTAAAACCAAAGCTAAGCCCTAAGTGCATTTGTATCTACTGTCAGGAGTCAGGTGGTGTTAATCCACTGGATGGGTTTACTCCCTTGGGTAGAGAGGAGTTAACCAGGCAAACAGAGCAGTCCTATGCAGCTCTACTCAGAATCCTGCTCAGGTCTGTTCAGTGGGGCGTATTCCCAGAAAAAGTTTCTCAGGATTATACCCTATGGGAAGAGGAGGAAGAGAAGACTGATGCCTAAAAATGGGGAACTGGTGCTCAAGAATTAAGGTTCCCTGTCCACCCCTTCTCATATTGTCTTACCTTTAAAGCCCTGTATGGCCAGGGTCCGGCTTACCTAAGGGACCGCCTTTCCCCATATGTTCCCCCAAGGGCACTACGGTCGGGGAGTCAACATCTCCTGGAAATTCCAGGCCCCAGAGATATTAAATTTGCTGTTACTAGAGCCAGGGCATTTTCGGTGGCGGCCCCTACCTGGTGGAAGGAGCTCCTGGAGGAGATCCAGGCCCTCCGGGACCTTTCTCAGTTCCGCAGGGCCTGTAAGACGGAGCTCTTTTGCCAGGCTTTCGAGTAGGAGCCGCCACCACGACAATTCCACCACCGATATGTATGCCGCATCGCACCACTACCACTAATATCTGGTTCCATCTGGGTGTGAGGTGACCCTGGAAGGAGAGGGGATGACAGGTTGTGGGACCAATTGCCATTGGATTAAGATCTACCCCGTCTTGTGAGGGGAGGAGCACTGACACTTTGTTGTTGTATTATATTGTTTTACTGTTTTATGCTGTTTTTATCTGTTTTAACTCTGGCACTTGTGCCTCGTTGTTAGCCGCCCTGAGCCTTTGGGGAGGGCGGGATATAAATCCAAAAACAAACAAACAAACAAACAAACAAATAAATAAATAAATAAATAAACTTCCAAAAGCATGCCCACACTTCTCCTCAGTCAACACATTGTTAAGGAGGATCAATGGAGGTGGGCAACTTTACTATTACTGATTCACCCAAGTTTAGTACTGCAGTGCTGGAGGGGGGGGGGGAGATACCAGAAAGAAGAGGTTCAAATCAGCATGGATTTTTTGAGCAATACTCTTGATTTTGAACTGGGCCACCTGCAGGGCTCCCAAGTACTTACCTTAATTCAGCGGGAGATGTATAGTTATTCACGGGACCATTCCCGTGGGGAAAACACAGGCGCTGCACTATTTTGTCACCCAGACGTGACGTAGGCACGTAGCCGGGCGACGCTCTAGCAGTGGGACTGGAAACTCGATGGTACCATCAAGTTTCCAGTCCCATTACCAGAGCGTCGCCCGGCTACGTACCTACGTCATGTCTGGGCTACAGAATAGTGCAGCGCCTGTGTTACAAGCAAGAATCTTCCGGCGGGGAAGCATGTGTCCCCCGCCGGTTCGTAGGTAGGTACTTGGGAACCCTAGTCACCTGTGTTGTTTTTGGGTGTTTGGTACACTGAGTCAGTAAACCTGAAAGAGTTTCCTATAAGGAAACTGAAAATTGTATTTATTTGCCACTATGGTACTCGATCAGATTGTTCACTCTGAGTTTGCTTAGAAACTGGTCTGACTCTAGCTGAAACCAGAGCATGGCTATTGGCATTTAAATAGTCGCTACATCTGCATTATAATTCTGGCCCAGGTAGCCTCATATACCAAATGCTTTCAGAGTCTAACATGTCAAACTGCCTAAAATATATTGAGGGAAAATTAAAGCCATGGGTATATTTTTGGATTCGCTGACTACGCTCCCATTAGCAGGTGCAGTTAAGTTGATTGAACAGAGAATGTTGGATATTGAGTGTCAGGAGTTACATAGTCTCGCCAACAAAACCTGCTCTCCTCTGAGCTTAGAGATACCTCTCACTGTAGGTAGGATGGCATCATATTTATCCTCCCTACAGGTGCCACAACTATGCAGAGCTTTCTCTTAAGCCAGATGCAATGCCATGCCATCTGCCATTCTATACGGCAGATTCAATAAGACAGCATATGCAGCTAGACATTGCCCTTGTAAATCTAGATGTGTTGAGACGATCTTACCAGTTTTGTTGCACTGTCACTTTTATATAAATATACACTCTAAATATCTAAACTCTATATTGACCAACATGATGGGTCTTTCAGATTCCCACAAAGTTTATGAACTTTTGAATGACTCCTCTGCTGAAGTAATTGAGAAGGTGGCTAAGTTCCTTCAATCTGCCATGCTGCTGCACCAAGAAAAAGTAAAGTTGTAACCTATGATCTTATTCAGTGTATTTGTAATACAGTGTCCTACTTGTATGTTTTTACAATGACTTTGACCTACTGATATATGCCAATAAAGACTGACTTGACGAGTTTTAGATTAAAATATGGAGGTGGGGCTTCCAATCAGAAATTGAAATCCTGTTTCCTCTTCTTTCCACCATTTAGGTCATGAGAACCATTCATCAGTTTGGTGCCTTTGATTTTCTTTTCAGGTGGGTCTTTCGTTGGGAGTCTTAGGACTCTTTATGCTCAGCAGCTTTTCTTGAATGTTCTGAGCATTTTCTTTCAGTGTTTTCCCTCCAGAAAGCTTTTCAGCAGGGAGAAAGTGGCTCCAAAAGGTCAGCCCCAGAAATTAGGACATCCAACGTAGGTATGATACCTAGAATCAGTTCTGAAGTTTGGGTTTCTTGTCCTCTGCATCAAAGTCCTGTGCTGTTTGCCTCAGTTAGTTCTCCACACGGGTGTTTTGGACGTTTACTCAGGATGGGACTCCATAGCTTTGGCCCGGACATTCTCAGCATCTTCCACAACATCATCCAGAAAGTTCTTCAGGATGTAGAATGTTGTTGCATAAGAAAGCGCTCCACCAACTAGAGAGCCCAATACTGGCACAAATTTAAGAGTAGGTTTGATCAGCATCAGTTCTTGTTGCAAGGCTGCCTTAGACAACAGATCAGCTACCAATTGAAAGGTGATGTCATGGGCCGTTGGGGATTTTTTAACAGCTGACAGCAACACAACAGCAGGTTTGCCAACCCGGTTTGCAAGTCTATGGAGGGAACCTTCATCCAGACCAAAGACATCATAAAAATAAGTCATTGCTCCAATCAAGATGCTGATATCACAGGCAAGAGAGAGGCCAGGGACAGGAACTGCCCCAGCGCCACAAGACACAAGGGCTGCAACCTGTATGTAGCACTCCATAGCAGCCTTTTTCCTCTCCAGGACTTCTTTGGAGAAAGCTGGCATAGCTAGAATTAAAGCATCTCTCTTGAGATCATCCAGGTCATTCTCCAAGGTCTCTTCCAAGAGGGGGAAATCATACATACTCAAATCCCAACTGGAAATGAGAAAAACCTTTGGATTAGATTCTCCTGCCTTTGTCAGATTGTCACAGCAGTGCTTCCTAATCCTTTCCAGGCATCCCTCCTCATTGAAGTCTGCTTTTCTTCTTCCAGCATTTATACTCTGATCTATTTTGGAACGTACATAGAAAAATTTCTTCTTCATCTTCCGAATTTCATTAGCCAAGTCACGATCATTCTCAGTGAAGCGATTTGAGGCGACGATGATGAAGAAATCATACTGCTTAAAAGCTACTTTCTTCAGGTATTTTTTTGCATTAAATCGAGGAGTCCCAATTCCTGGTAGGTCCCATACTGTTACTTTGGGGAACGTGGGGTGTGGATAGCCCTTTCGCTCTGTGGTTGTTTCTGTATCCCCAACCTTGGCTGACCCTTCTTCATCGTCTGCCATTCCTCGCAGAGCATTGACAAGCGATGATTTTCCAGCACCCGACACCCCTGTGATGGCGATGTCAAGAGTAGTGTTTCTTAAGAAATCCAAATCTTCATCACATTGGGCAATCAGATCAGTGAGATTTGTGGTTCTTTTGTCATCCTTCAGTGATTCAAGTTTCTTTCTTATGACTGCTGTTAAGATGTTAAGAGCCATGGTGCTTCTTCTTGAATGTTTGCCTGAATGAAGAAATCAAAAACAGAGAAGCTGTTAATTAAATGCCAGGTAATATTTAGCTAAGACCTTTCTTTGACAATTGAGTTGTGAATAGAATAGAATAGAATAGAACAGAACAGAACAGAACAAGAAACGGGACCCGCGATACTCGCGGGGGGGGAGAAGAGCTCCACACAGAGCAGGAGGAGGCGGCAGCAGCAGCAGGTAAGCCCTCTTCCCCCCCCTGTACAGCGGTGGAGTGGCCTGAGTTGCTTCCAGCCGCCGGCCCCCGCCA